ACTCGCCCATCAGTTAACAGAGTCTTGACAACCTCCCGTATGGCCATTCTGTGCAGCCCAACTCAGCGCCGTTCGGCCAGTGTTATCTTGTCGGTTTGGTTCAACTCGGCCGTTAGATAACAGAGTCTTGACAACCTCCGTATGGCCATTCTGTGCAGCCCAACTCAGCGCCGTTCGGCCAGTGTTATCTTGTCGGTTTGGTTCAACTCGGCCATCAGATAACAGAGTCTTGACAACCTCCGTATGGCCACGCCGTGCAGCCGAACTCAGCGGCGTTCGGCCATAATTATCTTGTCGGTCCGGATCAACTCGGCCATCCGATAGCAGAGTTTTTAAAACCTCCATTTGGCCATTCTGTGCTGCCCAACTTAGCGGAGTTTGGCCCTCTCTATCCTCCCTCTCTGGGTCGATTCGGCCATCCGATAACAGAGTTTTAACAACATCTGTATTGCCATTCCCTGCTGCCCAATGTAGCGGCTCTCGGCCCTCGTTGTCTTGTCGGTGTGGATCAACTCGGCTATCTGATAAAAAAATTTTGACCACCTCTGTATGACCATACTCTGAAGCCCAAATCAGCGGCGTTTTTCCTCGATTATCTCGTTGGTCAGGATCAATATCCTCGGCATTGGTAAGGAGCACAGTGGCTAAATCATTGAGCCCGTAGACACCAACCATGTGAAATGCATTCTGGGATGGCCTCAAGTACTCCAAACTTAGGCTTGGGCCCTCAAGGAGCCGAGGGTATTCTCTGATCTTGGAAAACATGGCACAAAGTTGTACCACCATACTAACCCATTCCGAGTTCGTTAATAAGTCAGGCAGCCGAGGAATGTAGGAGGAACACGTAGATGTATGATATCCCCAGTAGTCAACAGCATAGGTGAAGAGAGGTTTTTTGAGTCGTACACGCGCCTCCTCACATGTCCTGACAGGGCCACCTGAAAAGTCCTTAAACGAAGGTATGATATGCAGATATTGGCGATATCGAGATGGGCGGTCGGAAACCACCGAGTCAAAGTATCCTGGAAATATTCCTGAACCGTATAGTGGACAAGTCGAATGATTTCGCTCTCTTTGTCGATGACAACGAGCCCGCAACATACCGAAAGCATATCTTCGGCATCAGGGATCGCGGTTTTATCAAGTTCGTCCTCACTGTCCTTGACAGCCCACGCATACTGAACCTCTATTGTTTGGAGAGGACGTTTGGCGCAGATGATCCACGATAGCACATGCTTGGCAAGCTTCTTATACCCGACCGGTTGCCCATTGATTCGCTCCATTGCATCGTCATATGCCCGGCGTAATAGGGCATGCTTTGGCTCCTTCTCCTTAGCGTCGTTTTGAAGCTCTTTCAATGTTTTACGGACAAGTTTTGCGCTAACTTTATCTTTCAAGGTTTCGAAGAAGAGGTGAGCAAGTAGGAACCTAACTGTATAAGTAAGCATATACTCAATCGAATCAATAATTCGTGGTTAACGGAACGCGGATAACTTACATGCCATCTGCGACACTGGCAATGCAGTCGATGATTTCATCTTGGAGGTGCGGGTATTTTGAGACAGCGCGCAGGTTGGGCATTTTATTGCGTATATATCGCTCGATGTCGTCCCTCTGGGCAACTATCTCAAGTCGGGAATACCCATCAAAGGCTTCCACAATATCAGGTACAGGCCGGGATGTGGCGAGGATGTTGACATTACTCTTCCTCGACTGAAGGCGCAGTAATGCTTCAATGAATTTGGAACGAATATTGTCACTCATTTGGCACTCATCCAGCGCATCAACAATAACAAAGACTCCATCCTTGTACAGTGCGGCAACAGCATGGAACATGCCTTCAAGATCGCTCAACGATGGTTGTGATTTATACTTCTTATGTCGAGTATAGGCATCCGTGACTGAAGATGGTGGTGGAAACTTGTTGCTGAGTAGTTGCTTTACGAGGTTGGCAATGAGCTGCTCGACGGTTTGGTCGTCTGTGCGCCGGAAGTTACAGTATAGGTATGCGATGCCAACGTCACGGTCTCCCCAGATCCTTTGGAGATGATCGATGACGATCGATACGAGGATAGTCTTCCCAGCGCCAGGTATGCCGGGGCAGAAGAGGGTCACTGACTTCCTTGATAGCCTGGTGGACTGAATTAGCGTAGGGAAAAAACAAGAATGAGCCAGGTTCGAAGGAAGCAAGGACTATACCATTCCTGAAACTGACGAGATTCTAAGAACCACTGTCCTGTGCCTTCTTGTCTTTGGCGTAGAAAGGCGGCTTGTTGTAGCGAATAGTCCACGGAAGAGAGCCATTGAAGCATTTCTTCATGTTTTTGTCGAGCTTCGGCCCCGTGTGCCTCTTTATCCTTGTCTTTACACGTCGCCATATTAGCAACAATCATTCATAACGGTCCAAAACTCTAACACTGAGATTCCAGTAGGGCGAATAATTACGACAAGTCTAATTTGCAGACTCCAGGACCTTGTTGGATCGTTGCGAGTTTTCCACTCGATTCCTGAGACTTGCAAAGCGTGTTTCGATGTCTGATTTTGGTGCAGACGGAAGGCGCAGGGACTCACCCATGCTGAGAGCATCATGGCACAGCTCCACAATATTTCCCCGCACTTTCTTCCAATTATCCCTATCCTCCTGAGAATCTCCAAATTTACAAATGCTGTTGTGATCAGCATCGAGGCACACGACACGTTCTTGCTTGCCGGGAAGACCAAATGTCGATGCTTCTTTAGATACCACCTATTTAATGTCAGAACCGCTCTCCAAGGCCGCAAGATACGGTGTTCTATCACTTACGTCATCACGTGATCCCCAGAACGACACGATAGGATAATCAAGCAACCGTTGTTTCCACAACTCATCGACCAGGTTGGTGAAGAGTGTGCCATCCTTGAGGACGTGTATGATATTATCTCCTTTTCGGAAACCGAGCCCTTTTGCTATTTTTGCAGCAACTTCTCCAATGCGAACTAATGATGCACGTCCACCATAGTGGGGAGTCGCAAAGAATGCGAGCCCTTTGGTAGCCATCTTGATGTCGCTGTAGACTTCATTGTTATACGCATTGATAAGCGCTTGCTTGATCAACAGTCCACCGAGGCTGTGACCAACAAGCAGCAGCGGGCGTTGCGGATCGTTCGTTCGGCTCAGCCGAACATCCTCAAGGAAATCATTCGCTTTGTCCAGGAACGTTCTGCGATCGGAACTGTAAACGACGGACGAATTGTACTGGTATAAAAAGATGCGAGCATTCGGGACCTTCTTTGGCAACATGTCCCGAAGCCACAGTTTTCCCTGCTCTCCGGGTGGAGTGCGCCAAGTGTCCCAAGCATGCTCCTCGTCATCTTTATTCCTTGGATTCAAACCATGAACGGCAATGATACTACTCTCGGTCAGTACCGCTTAGAAAGCTCGAGAATGCGCCTTGTCTTACTCAATCTCAGCATTGTCAGGGACATCATCGTCGTCAAGTCCTGGATCGGGTGGAGTTGGGTAAAGGAGACGCAGCGGCTACGGTAACATTAGTAAGGGTGCGCTCGATCCTTAATTCGAGGTCTACGTTGAAAAATACATGCCATTGGATTGAACCCAAGGTCTTGTTACTGCGTTAAAGGTAATGCCGAGCAGCGGAAATCGGAGTACATAGTAGATTAACTTGGATTGGATCAAGATGTACAGGAGCGATGAAAACGGAGAAAGGCTAAGTGAGCTGTGCGGGGTCGTTCGGTCGTTCATGTAGGGCACCTTGGGCACCCAAGGCACACAGAACAGCCGCCCACATTCCGCGTGCTCTATAAGTATACTATAGATGTAGTCCAAGCAATCTAGTCTACCCATATATTGTAGTCAATTCTAGATTGTGGGAGTCTGAAGGGTTTCGAAGAGAACACGTTCTATCTTCTCAAGATTTAACCTTGTAGGCTCGGGGTGATTTCTCTATGCTGTTGAATACTAATGTAATGCTGCACTTCCCCGCCGGCGCCGTGGGCACGACTTAGCAACCCCAGTGATAGGACGGTCGGAAAATAGAATAAAGAAATATAAGTAATGCTGTACTTACATCCCAAGATGATTGCTTTGGCCTACCACTTTGGCAACCTGATCTTGGCTGATTCGTATTTGCCAAACACTTGTACTCCATTTCTCGTGCCATATCCAGCGATGCGTGAAAAGCGTGCACCCTTCATGCAAACCGGCACTGCAGTACAGAAACCGTGCATGATTGGGTGTTTTCACCATGCTGCACCAAGTCGGATGGGATGGATCGGATTCTATTTTTCAACTGGTCCACCCTTCCCCTCTTTCCTTCCCCTGCTTCCCAGTTTGAATTGAATTGAATTGTATTGTATTTTCGACCCGTCTCACCCTTGAGGGTGCTTGGTCGTGCCCACGACGGCGGCGGGCAAGAGGTGAGTATGGGTTGCCTAAACGATACTATATACACGCGGGGAAAACCCAAAGAGGGGAAAAAAAGACCGGTGTGTTGCTGTGAGGGGATATCATGAATGAGAACGGGGAATTGGCCAAGTGGTGGAGAATCCCAGCGATTTAAATGTCCAAGCTAGACATTTCTGAATCTGATTGTGAGTCGCTGGGGGGGTGACGGTTTTGGGGGCGTTGTATGTATATTTTTCGACCACTATCGACCATATCTAAGTGCTCGGGTCGTGCCCACGGCAACGGCGGGCAAGAGGTTGCTAGATACATTGTGCGGTGAAAAAAAAACCCTTTTTGGGGAAAAACCCGCGCGTAAACTTGTGCCCGCTGGTCCAGCTGGTCCAAGCGGGGAGATGGGAGTTTGAGCTGGTCGAAGCCCAGTTGAGTAGCTTGTACTCGCTGGCCCAAGCGGGGAAGTCGGGGTATGATCGTGGTCAAAGACCAGGTGAGTGCGAGGTGGAGAGAGCCGGATTCACACCACCAACCTGCCGGGCCACAGCAAGTTTTTCCAGGCTCAATGCACTCCAACCTCGCCATACCCCCTTTGGGGGCGTTGTATCAAGCGAGGAGAGGAGACAGGGCGGTGCAGAGTGGGAAAAGTTAGCCCCGTCTGTTCATCTTGCGCGGAGCCGTGGAGCTCGAGTTGTACTCTCCTGTTCTCAGAAAGTTGGTGCGAGTGCCAAAAGGCTCTGAGGTCCAGACGCCCTGCCATAGGGTTATTGAAGGAGGCGAGGGGGCCATCTCAGGAAATTGCCTTTAGAGGCTATCGAACCACAAGGGCAGGTTTTGATAGCACTCGGAGGGGGGGGGTTTGAACCTGCTGCTTCCTAGATTGGATCAACCGGAGGAAGGCTTGGCAGGATAAACCAATCAGGAGTGGTTAACCTGAGCGTCCGTACCCTCAACACCTCGCCCTCTCTCTGTTCCCGCGCGATAACCCTCCTCGAGTGCTGGCTTCTCGCCGCCCTCAGGAGGGCGCGCGAAGAGAAGGCCAAAGAGCTCAACGCGACGGTTTCCGTGATCGAGAAGCTGCTATCCGCAATCAACAACGCTGAGAAAAACCTTAACGGCAACATCGAGAAGAAGGTTGGGAAGCCCATCCTCACTTTCGCTCCTTCCTCATCCAGGCTTCTCCCCCAAGGATCTGGGCCTTCCAACCATTCCCTCTTTCCATTCCCTCTTTTTCTTCCTCTGATTCTCGGATTCGATCAATCAGAGGAGGCGTTGCTGGGATAGACCATTAAGGAGCGGTTAACCTGAGCTGGAGAATAACCTAACACCACGGCCTGCGAGGACCCTCCCCGAGATGTCCTCCTCGAGCGCTGGCATCCTGGCCGCCCTCAGAAAGGCCCATGAGGAGAGGGTAAAAGAGCCCAACGCCGTCATCACCGTCGCTGAGAAACTACTGCGCGCGATCGAAGACGTTAAGAATAGCCCCGAGAACAACCTGGAGAAGAAGATTGCGAAGCCCATCATCACGAAGCTTCACTCCTTTTCTATCCAGGCAACGCTGGCCAAAGAGGGCCCGGTCTCCCTCCCGGGACCCAATCTTCCAGATACAGCCAGTTGGATCGTCACGCCGACGGAACTCAAAAATGGTGTCGCCATCGGGTGCATCGTCCACCAGCGACGCAATCGCTAATCACGAAGGCAGTGTTAAAGCTGTCTTGGCTGCTCTAAAGAGAGCCAGAGATCAGGTCAAGGTGCTGAACACCACCATCTCGATCATCGGAAAGCTCGTCGGCGCTATCGCTATGGTGGAAAACCAGCTCAAAAGCTCGCTGGAGAAGCAAGTCGGCAAACCAATCATCGACAAACTTCATTCTTTCCTGATCCAGGAATCAATGAAAACGACACGTGTCGTCACTCCTTCCCCCGCCGCCATTCCGGTTCCCTTCGAATCTACGATACCCGCAGCTACGAATATTCCTGACATTCCCACCAATCGGGCTCAGGATGAAGTTCCCCCCACCCCGGCCCCTCCAAAACAACCCCGTTGGGCTGATGTGGCTGCTACTCCTTTGCAATTCCATCAACAAACAAGCCACACTCAGCCACCCTTCTCTGAGCGGCTCTCCTCGTCCGATGGATCGCGCTGCGAGTAAGCGTGTCTTCCTTCGGGTGAATAAAGCTGAGTTTGCGAACTCGTTCTGGAGTCAAGCCTCGCCTGCAGAAGTTGTCACTCTGTTAGTGAAGCACATAGGCTTTCCGCGCGAGCTCATTAATCGCGCATATCCGATTAAATCCGGCTTGTGCGTCGAAATGAGCGAGCAGCAAATCGCTCTCTGCTAGTCGAGAAGGCAAAAGAGAAAGGCCTTGTCGCAGAGCCGGAGGAGACTACTTTTGCATACGTCGTTAGGAATGTCCCTCAAGCTATCCGCGACTTCACGGGCCAACTCATTGATACCGAACCGCTCATTCAACAAGAAGCAATCGCAGCCACATAGAAAGACGCAAAGATCATCAAGGGCAGATCGGGTACCTGGATCGTGGTTCTCCGCCGGCAATGCCCCAGCTTCCGACTGTTCGACTCGGACCCTACTATTCCATTGTCCCACAACCCCCAGATCTACTCTTGCGAGCGCTGTTTCGGCTTCCACCACCGGGACAAGTACCGTTATGCTGCCGTCTGCAGCAAGTGCGGCGGCCCTGCTCACAACCATACAGGGTGCCGGCCAATCCCTCAGTGCCCCAATTGCCTTTCTCCAGCTGCCCCAGGACACCGCGATTGCCCAGCCTTCCCGAAAGTATCCCAAGGCCGAGTCCTGAAGCCTACGCGCGAGCAGAGAGCCGCCTTCCGCAAGGCTGGCCGTGCAGCGTATAAAGCTAAGGTAGCTGAGCTTAGAAAGAACACATCGACCCCTCCCGCGGCTCTCTCCCCTTCCTCCTCGAAGCCAACTTTGAATGACAACAATAGCTCAAGGCAAAACTCTCCAGACACGATCGCAGAGTCAGCTCCTAGCAAGGCGCACACCGTTGGCCTTGGTGCATCGCCGTCATCTAACTGGGTGCTGGTTAGCCGCTCGCCCGGTACAATTCGCTGCGTAGCGACTCCCGACAGCGCGCTCTGGGGAAGGTAGCAGCTAGCTTGGAGTCACCCCCAACCATTCAGCAACTGTTTCCGCCACATGATCGGCCTGAATCACCCGACCCAGTTAACACTATCTGACGCCCAAGCATAGCAGACATCTTCAAATCTTATCTGCAAACGCGCAAAAATCCATCGCCTACACAGACGGCCTCCTCGAGCTTGCAGCTAGACAAAGAATATCCCTCATCTGTGTCCAAGAACCCGCGGTCATCAGAGGCAAGGTTTGGAGACACCTTGGTTTCACCGTGATCTCGATCTCATCTGACGACCCTGAATGCCGAACGGCTATTTACATTTATAAAAGATTCTCTTTCTCTTCTCTGCACGACACTCTCCATTGTGCTGTCTCGGTTTCTTTCTCCGGGTTCCAGATTGTCTGCCTCTACATCCACCCGAGAGACGAGCTTGCTTTCCCAGCCTGGCGCTTTCTCCGGTCAATTCGAGCCTCTCAAATCACATATTATTTTGTTGGTGACTTTAACACCGAACACCCCTCTTTGAGACCCTAGAGCAAATACAAACCCTCGAGGGGAGCTCCTCACAATGTGGATTGCTGCTTCTGGCCTCGTGATTCTCAACCTCCCAGGCGAGACTCACAATAGAGGCGGCATCCTCGACCTAGCTCTTGGACCACCTAGAGCTTTTGCAAGGTTCGCTCATTGGGTTTCAGATCATAGGGCTTTGATGGTCTCAGTCCCTAAGGCACCGCCGCAACTGTCACATGGACACGGCAGTCCATGGAGAAGAAATGTCCTTGATAGCCAACATATAGAACACCGGTGACACAAGAGCTGAGAAGGGCAAAAGGCATATCTGATTGATAGAGCCCGGGAAATATGAGGGGGTGGCAGGAATGAGTTAGATAATCTTGCCACGCTGAGGAGAACCCTGAAGATTGCAGAAGACCGCGAGGTACTCACAAGGGCACAGTGATTTTATAAGGGGAGCTACTTGGACACGATGAAGGATTTCTCTTGGGTTTTCCCCTCCCTAACACAAGGATACTGAGGACCAAGAAAGATTGTTATACGTAGTAATCGACTTCGCTGTGCACCCCACATCATCAGTGGCCATCATCTAACCCATTTGACCCATTGTCGATCCCTGCCTACACCAGACCAAGTCATCCGTTACATTGGCTTTCGGCTCGGCCACAGCCTTTGCAGAGTTCGCTCACTGGGCAACGGGCCACAGAACTCTCGTAGTATCCCTGGACAGAGCGCGCCCCGCTCCTTCGCCACCCCTGATCCTTACCTAGAAGCCGGTTGCTGTGGTGGATGCCCTACTAGAGACGCTCATCCCGCGACCACGGCAAATTCACTCCCCCCAGGATCTGGAAGACTTTATTTATCTATTTACTTATTTATTATTCTATTTTTCGACCGGGTTCACCCCTGAGGGTGCTGGGTCGTGCCCACCGACGCCGGCGGGCAAAAGGTACCTGAGTTGAACTAAATACAGGTAACGCCGGGAAAAGGCCGCATATGGTAAAACCGGCGTGGGTTAGAGGGAGTGCAGCTTACTATGTACAGGGGAAGGTTCTTGAAACCGGCCAGCCCCAGGTATGTAGCTCGTTGGGACCTGCTCCGGGTCGTTAGGCTCGGAGTCTAGATGATCAGCACGCGGGGCTTGGGGCGGGCTTGCGAGAGGGTAGCGAGGGAGGGGTGGTAACGGGATAGGGTGCCCTGTGGAAGCGTCCCAGGCTTGCCCCCAGAGTTTGACCTTGTAGGCCCTGGACTTGAACAGCTGGAAGACCAAAATGCCCTTGGGTCTAGCCTGCCGGCAAAGTGGGTTTGTTGAAAGAGGTGAGAGGGCGGGAAAAAGAAGTGGCCTCTGGGACACCACACCGCCGCAGGGGCACTCTTTAATAGCCTCCGGGAGTGGTGAATCGAGTGTGGTACTCCAGGAAGTCGCCGTGATCCGAGGCCTCTGCAAGCCACTGGGAGAGGCACTGCCGGGAAAACTTCTCGAAGAAGGGTTTAGCAGAGTGCCCGCTCCATCGAGCCGAGGGGCTCTGTTTGGCCTGCCACCATCTGTGCATGTCCGGGGGAGGGACGCGACGTTTTCTTGGGGAGATTGAAGAGGGGGAGACCAAGCCATGCCCTGATGCCCGCGTGTTTGGGCTCCCACTGGGGCCTAGCCCTTAGACCAGAGGCCGCTTGGTGCAAGCGGGACTAGCCGCGGTAAGGGGTTCGGGAGAGCCTGACTGTTGGATGTAAAGAAAATGGTGGATGTGGATGGGAGTATTTACTTGTGCGTTGCCCTGCAGAATACGCGGCCCTGAGGGAATCTGTCAAGCACAATGGGTGCCGCAGAATAACAACGCTCTACCTTCTAAGCTACACACGCGTGAAGATGGATGAGCATGGCTCTTATAATAAGGTCAAGTGTGCACCTGACCTCAGTGGAGCCCGGGCTGACCGAGGTAGGTCAACGGTGACCACACCGTGGTCACTTGCGGCTAACACTAATCCACAGAGGGTGGCTGGCCGGTAACATCACAATGCGGTTCCTCCACCGTACCCGCTCTCTGTCTAGCAAGTACTCAGAATAGAGGCCAGTAAGCCACCAGAGCCACGGGGTCGGTATTGTCCTCCACACCGGGAATATCACCCTCAATACTGTGTTTGCAACCTTGGTGAGAGATGACCACACCGACGCGAGCCTGGATGGGACCAAGTGGCCGTTGACCCCAGCCCTGTGTGGGCCAGTATCAAGTTGGACCATGCCGTACAGAAGAGAGGGGGTGACGACTGCATTGAAGATGTTGGGGTCAGCCGCGGGGGGAACCCCCGGACCCTCGTGTTAGATAGGCGCTTGATCAAGCCTACCACCGCAGTCGTCGCTGACGCCTTCGCGGCCGCCTGCGTCGCAGGGCTGAGCTTGGGGTCCAGCGAGACGCCCAGCCACTTGATGGATTTGCCAGGGGGAAAAAGGACGCCCCTTCCACCTGTGTCGAAATGTTTGCGGGATCAAACCTGCCTCGCTTTGCCGGAGCCCCCCGGGGGGGGG